TGATTAAAGCAATCGATTGCTAACTGAAAGGTAAACAATTTGAAACCACCAGTGGCTCAGTGGGAGAAAGAGGTGGCAGTCTGCTTCCGTAGAGATTTACAGCCTTGGAAAGCCTATGGGGTCCCTATGAGTTGGAATCAACTGGACAACAGTGGGGTTTTTTTAGTAGTATGTGATAGATTTCTTGCTATCTGGTGTGCCAAAGTGTTCGGGTTTATCTTATACATATTTTGCTCCAGATTTGGAATCATCCATTTCTCAATATCCCCCAGTTCCTTTCAGTAGGAAGTAGTATAAGTTAGCCTGCCTTCATTTACTTAAAGATAAAATTTCTCATGAATTTGTATTTATAGTTTCAATTAGTTAAGACTGGATTTGTTATTACATCTGGATCTGCTGTCTTCCAAAGGAGGAATTGTGGCTCTCAAGGACACCAAAAAAAAAAAAAAAAAACCTATCACCATCAAGTAAATTCTGACTCATAGTGACCCTATAGGACAGAGTAGAACTGTCTAGTAGGGTTTCTTAAGGACACAGTGAATGATGAAATTAGAAGATCCCATACTTAGTCATTTGCTTTATCCTTCATTACACACGCAGCAGTTTCAGAAGAATAGCAATACTGTTTACCAGTATGATCACTTGTAAACAGTTTTAAATATTTTGTGCTTATGCTCCCCTCATTTTCCCGTCCATTTTTTGAAAGTAGTTGTTCACTCTCTATACTTTCAAAGTATACCATAGGCATTACATACTGTACTTTTTAGTCTTAGATCTGGAAAGCTACTTATTTATTTATTTTTCACACATATAGTTTTATGACATTGGTTAACAACCCCACAATATGTCAACCCTCTAACTTCTCAACCTTTTTTTTGGTGAAAATACACATAGCCAAAGATACACCATTTCAAAAATTTCTACATGCACAGTTCAGTGACATTGACTACTGCTCTTCCAATTGTACTGCTATTCTCACTTAAGATGAAGGCTTACAGAACAAAATAGTTTCTCATTTAACAGTTACTACACATGTTGCCCTATGACCATGGTTAACAATTTCACAACACATCAACAGTATCCTTACTTAACCTTGGGTTCCCTATCACCAGCTTCCTTGTCCCCTTCTGCCTTCTGGCCCTTGTCACTGGACTGCTGTACCTCATTAGTCCCATTTGGTTTTACAGGGCTGTCCACTCCCAGGCTGAACGGTGAACTTCGGAGATAACTTCACCACTGAGCTAAAAGGGTGTCTGGGGGCCATACTCTCGGGGTTTCTCCAGTCTCCTTTAGGCCAGTAAATCTTGTCTTTTTTGTGTGAGTTAGAATTATGTTCTACATCCTTGTCCAGCTCTGTCCAGAACCCTCTGTTGTGATCCTGGTCAGAGCAGACAGTGGTGGTAGCCGGGCACCATCTAGCTGTACTGGACTCAGTCTGGTGGAGGCCTTGGTAGCTGTGGACCATTAGTCCTTCCAACTAATCTTTTCCTTGTATCCTGTTCTCTTCATTCTCCCTTGCTCCCGAAGGGATGAGATCAGTGGAGTATCTTAGATGGCCGCTCACAGGCTTTTAAGACCCCAGACACTACTCACCAAGGTAGAATGTAGAACATTGTCTTTATAAACTGTGGTATGCCAGTTGAGCTAGATGTTCCCCGAGACCATGATCCCCACAGCCCTCCGCCCAGCAGTTCAGTCCCTCAGGGAGTTTGGATGTGTCTGTGGGGCTTCCATGACCTGGAAAGCTATTTATTTAATGGTTACTGCCAGCCCTTATTTTGCTGTCTGTCTAGCCATTCTGATTGTCTGATACTCATTTCCTCAGAAAAGGCTTATGGAAATGATGCTTGCTTAGTTCTTGTGTGCCGATATCAGTTTGTGGTGTTTATATATGAAGGTCAGTTTACCTGAGTACTAAATACTTGGGCCTACATTTTCTTTCCTTTGAGTGTCTTAAAATATATTACTCCATTTCTTTTGTTAAAATCAATAATAAAATTTTCTGTTCTATATAAGTCATTTGGTCTTTGTATAGATCCCAAAGAATTTTTTCTCATTAAAATCTAGTAATTTTTCTAGACTATCTTGGTCATTCTGAATTGATATCCTTAAGTACATTGTATGTCCTTTTATTAATACGTGCTTATCGTCTGCTTCCATGTATTTTATTAGGGTTTATTCTTTTTTGTTTGTTTCTAACTTCGTAAGTTGGACAATTGGTTGAATAATTTTCTAATACAAGCATTTATGGCTATACTCAGAGCTTCCCCACTCACTGCCTCCCACAAGTTTTAGTAAGGTCACCCAAAAATGGCAAATGACCAAGTAGTACATAAACCGGACATGCCAGGATTGTTTATTAGGAAAAACTCACAGGGCCATGAAAGGCTCTCCCATTGATCATCACATACAGCATTCTGCCAACAACACAAAGGGTCATGAGACCCCAGGAGAGGTGCCCTGACTCTTGGGCTATCAGTCCTAATAAAGAAAGCAGTATCCCCTCCTCTGGTTTGATCAGGAGCTGGGCAAAATAGTGATTTAATGTTAAGTTGCCAAGTAATGTTTTTATTATTTAGTTTTAATTTTATTGTGACTTCTGTTTTGTCCCAGGACTTATTTAGAAGTTTTTGTTTTTTAAACTTCCAGATATAGATATTTTTGTTCATGTTTTTCTTATTAATTTTTAAATACTGAGCTGTGTTATATCTGTTCCTGTGTAGTATAACTTGAACAACAGACTCTGAAGCCTCAATATCTGGGTTCAAATTCCTGCAGTATTACTAAATAGTGTAATTTTGAGCAAGTTACCATATCTGGGACTCTCTCTATCTGTGAGATGAGATAATAATTACCTACTCCATAGACTTGTGTGAAAGTTAAATGAGTTAATACGTATAAATGCTTAGAATAGTGCCTGGAACACAGGAAGTGTTTGCTGCTGGTATTATTGATTGTATTGTTATTATTACTATTAATATTATTTGAGATTTATTGAGACCTCCTTTTTTAGGCTAATAATACTGAATTTTTGTGTATACTTTCTAGTTGTTCAGTATAGAATTCTGTATTTGTTTATTGAATCAAGCTTCTTAATCTAAATTTTTTTTTTTTGGCTGCTACTTTTAGTTTGACTTATTTCTTAATAATTGAGAGCTGTGTAGAAATCTATCATGATGATAGATTTGTACAATCTCCTTGTTATATCAGTTTTTGTTTCATTTAATTTTGAAGCTATTTTATTAGATGTTTCCATGTTTTCCTGGTGGATTGAACTCTTCATCATTATCTAGTTACCTTATTAATCACTGATTAGGCTTTTTACTTAAAGTGCTTTTGCTTTTTTTTTTTTTTTTTAAATATTATTGAAAGAATCCCAGCTTTCCTATGGTTAGTATTTACCTGGCATATCTTTCTACATTTCTTTGTCCTTATCTTTAGATATGTCTCTTTTAAATAGCATATAGATGGCTGAATTTTCTAAATTTTTTTTTTTTTTAATCTAATCTGGCAATCTGTTTTATTTGGTGAGTTTTATCCATTTATATTTATTATTTTTGTTAATGTATTTGGAATTGGCTTTCAATCTTTTTATTGGTCTTTGTTTCACTTCTGTTTTGCTTCTTCCCTTTCTTGCCTTTTTGTTGGTTTGGTTTGACTGAGCTTTTTTTGCATGTTGCTCATTTTAATTCCCTTTGTAGTCCTTTTTTTCTCTACTGAGCCTGATATTTATACATACTGTTTTTATTCTTTTAGTGCTGATCCTTGAAATGGTACCCTGCATATTTAACTAATTCTTGAAGTTAATCATCTTGATTTTTCTCTAGAACAGTGGAAGTACTTCACAGTTTAGCACTGATCTTTTCTGCCTGGACTTAAATAATAGTGTTGTCTAACATCTCTGTTCTTTATTTGTGATGTCACAAATTAGATACTAGAATACTGTCATTTTGTACAAACGATGTGGATATGAAGTTATCTATATGTTTACTTTTCTCTGTTGTACTCCAGACCATTCTTCTGCAATGATTTGCCTTCTTAAAGTACAGTTTTTAAAGTTTATTTAGAGTAGTTGTCTTGGTGGTAAATGCCCTCAGTTTTTGTTTATCTTTACAAATGTCTTTGTTTCATGTTCATTTTTGAGGGATAGTTTGGTGGACATACCATTCTAGGTTGACAGTTATTTTCTGTCAGCATTTGTAGATATTATCCACTTTGTTCTGGATTCCTTTGTTGTTAAGAAATTTGCTACTCTCATTTTTGTTATTGTTTTCTATGTAATCACTTTGTAATTTCTCCCTGCTTTGTGGATGCTTTCGAGCTATTCTCCTTATCTTTGAAGAACTATTTTAAATTTTACTAAGTTGAGTCTAAGCATGAGTTTCTTTTTATCCTGCTTGAGATATCCTGTGCTTCTAGATCTCTAGGTCTTCATCGGTCTGGTAAATGTACAGCTGTCAATTCTTTAAATATTGCCTTTTCCCTGTTTTCTTTATTTTCTCCTTCTGGATCCCTAATCAGGCATATGTTAGACCTTCTCATAACATTGTAACGAATGCAAATTAAAATCAGTGGGGAAAAAATTCTTAGGGAAAGGATAAAGGGGCCTCAGTATGATTCTTACATTGGGTTTTTTCTATTTTGTTAGTCATTCTGTGCATGTGTCATGTCTCATAATCTTCTTGAGTTCCTTTTGGAAAATAGTCCCAAACATAAAATGTACTTTTAGTATGGCATAAGGTCCACTTTATAGACTTTATTCTATCTGTTCGGAGAAGACAAATTGTATTCCTTATCCAATATGAATGAAAAAGGACTTAGATTTGTTAGTCTGGGTACTAGGAAGAAAATTTTAAGTCCTTGCATGTTACCTTCATCACAGTATGATATTTAATTAAGTGCTTACAGCTGTGGTTTTTTGCATAGCAGAGCAGCAAGCTAGAGTTTAGGTAGAAACAAAAATGTGAGGAGGCCAAAATTATTCTTTTCCATTTTTTTAGGGCAAATGAAAAGGACTAAATGTGCTGAAATCGACGTTGAGACACCAGACTCCATTCTGGTTAACACAAATCTGCGAGCATTGATCAACAAACACACCTTTTCAGTTCTACCTGGAGATTGCCAGCAGCGACTGCTTCTGCTGCTTCCAGAAGTAGATAGACAGGTATGTTAATTCAAGCCTAAGCAATTTGATAACCCTTCTGAGTCTTCCCTAATTTTCTTTAGAATTCTTAAGAATTTTCTAGGTTTTTTTTTTTGCTTTCTATCTACCTGTAGAAAAGTGATATTAGTATTTAAGAAGAAATAAGGCTGTTTTTATGTAAGCACTCTTAATAAGTGGGTCCTGTAAGGCTTATAAAACAAAATAAAAGTCTCTTAGCAGAATGTCATGATTAAAGAATAAATTTGTCTAGTTGTCATTTACGGATGTAGGTCGACATCAGTAGAATACAGCTTAGGGAGGGCTGGAGAGTTGTCTTGCTCCAGCATCTGCAGGATGTGGGCCAGCACCTCAGTGGAGTTTGAAATGTCAGGAATAAGCCAAAGACCTGGATTCAGATACTTACTTTTCTACTCGATGGTTAGCCAGTTGATCCAGCACTATATATTTACGTTTGAAATACCACCTTTGTCATATATCCTGTTCATTTGTATGCGGTATCTATTTATAAGACGCTTCCTCCTCTTCCATTGGTTTCTTTTTTTCACTTTAATGCTGGTAAATAATATGGTTTTGTTTGTTTGTTTTTTAAGCAATAATAGGGTTTTTTTCGCAGTGGCTTTGTGTGATATTTTATTAAGTCTTTTCGTCATCATCTTTTCAGATCTTGGGTTTTATGTGTTTAAGTAAGATTTTATGGTTTTAACCAAGACAGGAAATTCAAAATCTCTGATATTAAAAAGAATATGTAAAAACCTCTGGCAAGATATCACAAATCAAGTCAATAAACAGATTAATTGGGGAAAACATTTTCAACATATGTGAAAATAAGTTTTGCTATGTATAATATGCACAGGACTCTTAAAAATTAATAATACATGAAAATAAGCAACCTTATAGAAAAGTGGACAAATGATACGAATTGGCAATTCATGTGATAACAAATCTGAATTTTCAATAAACATGCAGAAAGTTGCAGACACTCTAGTAGTCAAGAAAAAGGGAACTTTTACCATTTCAGACCCATTAGATTGACGGAATTAAATATCAGTATCTACTATTAGCAGGGAAAATGTATGCCCACATATTGCTGGTATGTGAATTGTTTTAGCCTTTTTGGAAAATAATTGGATAATATCTAGTTAAACATACACACATTCTTTGATCTGGAAATCTATCCTAGAGAAATAAAAGCATGAATTTATTCATCTATACCAGAATGCTTATTGCAGCTTTGATGATTTTGGGAAGACACTGGAAGCAAAGTGTATGACTATCACTGGGGAGTGGGGAAATGAATTGGGGTACATTCATACAGTGAGACAATATGCAGCCATTACAAAGAAGCCAAAACTATGCCTGTCAACTTGAAGAGATTACTATGCTGTATTAAGTGAGAAAAGTAAGATGCAAAACAGTGTGTATAACTTGGTCCCATTTTTATAGAACAAATAATGAACTGCCCCCCTCCCCCCACAAAATGTATTTCATATACATTTGTTTGTTTGCAAGCGGTTCTGCAAACAGGTTTTTAATCATTGGAGAATGGGATTGAAAGGCAGGAAAGGTAAGTAGGAGAGGAAATATTTTAGAAAAATAGTAGATATTATATTAAAAAATAGAGATATCCATAATAATGGTATTAAGGATATTATAAAATGGCATGATAGGGTCATCTTTCTATAAATTAAATATACTTACAGTCTTTTCTAGAAAGAAAGGAAAGTACCTTATGATACCTTAACTTTCTTTGTAAGCTTTCCTTTACTTATTCTCTGACCCAGGTTGGTCCAGATGGTTTGATGAAGTTAAATGGTTCAGCCCTTAACAATGAATTCTTCACTTCAGCAGCCCAAGGCTGGAAGGAGAGACTCTCAGAAGGTAAGTGTTCTACCTCATGTGTCTCCCAAGATGGCACTTGGAACCAGTATATTTATATGTACCTGGAGCCACTCTGAGGACATATTGGCACCTCTCTGCGTCAATAGGCAATTAAGTAATTAAGGAAGTAATTAATTAATTAATTGAGTAATTAAGGAAGGCGAAGGATGGGATGTTTCCATAAGGTAGAACTAGTGATCCTGTATGAAACGTATTGCTGGACTCCCAACTGTAGCCAGTGTAATCAGGTTTGGCTCCAGGAGGAGTCCGGCAATATGTTTCTTGAATGATTTAGAGTCGCTTCAGAAGCTAAAATAAAAACAGAGTTTCAGGCCCTATTCCTAGAGATTCTGATTTAGTAAGTCTAGGTAGTGCCTAAAAATTGAAATTTTAATAAGCAGAGTGTAGAATTAAGTTATTTTATGGTGCTATTAGTCAACTGTTTAGTAAGCAGTGAGATAACGTCCTTATTTTTGCCCAACCTTCATGAAACTAAGAGTTAAAAGAAGCAGTAAGAGTGTTTTTTAAAGCACTGAGATATATTGAGATATAAAATATAAATATATAAACAAATATTAAATATAAAATATTGAGATATATTCCACGTACTATTAAAATTCACCCACTTCAAGTATACAGTTCAGTGGCAATCAGAACATTTTAATAAATACAGATAATGGATGAGAATTACTGACGGTAGTCACTGGTTTGCCATGTATGCCGTGCTCATAACTCTGGTTTAACTCATTCACTAAGGGTAAAGTATAAAATTAAAGGTAACTTTTTTTATTTGTCTGAGTACAACATGTCGTATCTGTCGGTATTAGCAGTTGTACATGAATGTTCATAGCCAAAAATGTTCATGTCCAAATCCTGGCTGCTCATTGTATAAATCACCTGTGATGTTTTTACTGATGCCCAGGCCCCATTCTCAATGATTGTGGTTTAACTGGTCTAGGATGCTCTGTTAGTTTCTTGGGGTGACCGTAACTAAGTAGTACAAACCTGGGTGGCTTAAAACAACAGCAATTAATTCTCTCACAGTTCTGGAGCCTAAAAGTCTGAATTCATGGTGTTGGCAGGGCCAGGTTTTCTCTGAAGGGTCTAGGAGAAGACCCTTCCTTCTCTTCCAGCTTCTGGTAGCCCCCAGCATTCCTTGGTTTGTGGCAGCATAACTCCCATCTCTGCCTCCATCTTCCAAAACCACTTCCAAATTTTAGGTGTTTGTTAGAGCAGCACCACTTCTCGGTACCAAATTCTGTCTTAGTTTCTTAGTGCTACTATAACAGAAATACCAGAGGTGGGGAGCTTTAACAAACAAATTTATTTTCTCCCAGTTTAGGAGACTAGAAGTCCAAATTCAGAGCACCAGCTTCCAGGGAAGACTTTCTGTCTCTGTCGGCTCTAGGGGAAAGTCCTTGTCTCTTTCTTCTGCTCCTCGGTTCCTAGGTGATCTTCATATGGAGTGGCGTCTGTCTTCCCCATCTATATTTGATTGCTTCTGTGCCTGATTGACTCTTCTATATCTCAAAAGTCAGACACACTCTATGAGATATGTCCTCATTAACATAACAAAGAAAATCCTATTCCCAGATGGGATTGCATCCATAGCTACATGGGTTAGGATATTTTTGGGGACACAATTCAATCCCTAACAGCCACCTTCTCTGTGCAGCTCCTGTGTCTGTGTCTCCTCTCCTCTCTTTTATAAAGATACCAGTCATAATTGGATTACAGCCCACCTTACTCCAGTATGACCTCTTGTTAACTAATTACATCTGCAAAGATCCTGTTTCCAATAAGGTCACATTCACAGGTACCTGGGGTTAGGATTTCAACATATCTTTTGGTGGGATACCATTCAACCCATAACAGATGGGGCCTGAATTTCAGGTTGTTTTTTTTTTTCCCCCAAGTAATTCTAATATGCAGCCATAATTAAAGTCACAGACTGTAATTTATTTTTTTAATTTCTGTTGAGGTGAAATTCATAGAACATTAAATAAGCCATTTTAAAGTGTACACTTTAATGGCATTTAGTACACTCACAGTGTTGTGCAGCCACTACCTCTATCTAGTTCCAGAACATTTTCATCACTCCAAAAGAAAATCTGGTACCCAAAAAGCAGTCACTTCCTAAACTCCTCTTCCCCCAGTCCCAGGCAACCACGAGTCTACTTTCTGACACTATGGATTTACCTATTCAGGATATTTCATATAAATGGAATCATATAATATGTGACCTTTTATATCTGGCTTCTTTACTTGGCATGTTTTTGAGATTCATCGGTATTATAGCATATATCAGGAATTCATTCCTTTTTGTGACTGAGTAATACTCCATTATGCATACATACGTACATATACACATATACATTAATTTTTTTTAATGTCTTTATCTGTTGATGTATACTTGAGTTGTTTCCACTTTTTAGCTATCGTAAGTAATGCTGCAATGAACACTGGTATACAAGTATCTGTCAGTCTCTGCTTTCAAGTCTTTTGATCATATACCTATGAGTGGAAGTGCTGGGTCATATGGTAATTCTGTGTTTAACTTTTTGAGGAACCGCCGAAGTGTTTTCTGCAGTGGCTACACCACTTTACAACCCCATTAGCAATGGATGAGGGTTCCAGTTTCTCTACATCCTCACCAACACTTGTTGTTTTCAGTTTTTCTGGTAATAGCCAATAATGGGAGTAAAGTGGTATCTCACTGTGGTTTTGATCTGCGTTTTCCTTAGCACTAATGACCTTGAGCATGTTTTCATGTGCTTATTGGCCATTTGTGTATCCTCTGTTGAAATATCTATTCAAGTTCTTTTTTTTTAATTGTCTTTTTTTGTTGAGTTGTAGGAATTCTTTATGTATTCTGGATATTAAACCCTTATCAGATATATGGCTACCAAATATTTCCTCCCATTCTGTAGGTTATCACTTCACTTTGTTGATAAAGTGGTTTGATGCACAAAAGTTTTTAATTTTGATGAAGTCCAGTTTATTTTGTCTTTTGTTGCTTGTGCTTTTGGATCAGATCTAAAGATCGTCAAAAGCTAGGTACCAAAGCATTAGCCCTGTATTTTGTTCTAAGAGTTTTATGGTTTTAGATCTTACATTTAGGTTGTTGTTCCATTTTTAGTTGATTTCCTTATGTGTTATGGTCAATTCCCTACCTTTTTACTGGAACCTTAAATGCCCGTAAATGGGGCATAGCTTTTTATTCTGCAATTAGAGATAAAAAGGCTAAAAAATAAGTTGCCTTGGAGAAACAAAACTTTAAAACTCACCCACAGTGGCTTTATTTACTGAAAGCACCTGCCATAGTAGAAAAGAAGTTAGAAATTAAAGGTTAGAGAGATAAGAAATCTGGAAGAATGTGATGTTTGGAGCAGGAGGGAGGTGCTGCAGAGGAAGCCCAGAGATCCTCTTGGCCTCAGCCAAGTACTGACAACTATTTGGAGTGATGTGCACATGTGTTTTTATTTCACTAATGGCACTTTTTTTTTTTTATGGCACATAGGCACTACCTTACAGTGAAGAAATTTGAAAGCTTCTGTTACATTCATGTGATAGTATTCTGATTTCTGCATGAATCTTTCATGACTTACTGATAGTTTAAAGTTGAAGACAACATTTTTCTATTGAATATCTGGGTTTTGTTTTGTTTTTTTTTTTTTTTACATTACAGGTGAGTTTACACCTGAGATGCAGGTGAGAATTCGACAAGAGATTGAAAAGGAGAAAAAAGTGGAGCTATGGAAAGAACAATTCTTTGAAAGCTACTATGGTCAGAGGTAATAATAAGACAAATTCTGTAAACCAGATGTTAATTCCTACATAGTTGTCATCTTGTGCTTCATCTCACTACCTTGCCAGAAAACCTAGTCCCCAGTTGCCTTCTATTTTTTATTTCACCTGTTCTTCTTTACTGAGGTTTTTTTTGTTTTGTTTTGTTTTGTTTTTCTGAATCTCAGGTGCCCAGAATTGTATTACTCGTAATCCTTGACTCTTAACACACCATCATATGAGCAGGATGGTTTTTTTTTAAAAAAAGAAAAAAAAAAAGATTTTATTATCTTGAATTAATGAGCATCTCTTTCTTTGAAAGGATTGGCTTTTTCTCCCCTGTAACTTTATAAGATATAAGAATGCTAAGGTTCTGTACATTTTTTATAATATTGAAGCATCCCAAAATATGACAGCTTATCCAGAGTCAACTAAGGGATCCTAGGAATTCTGTAATAATGGACCCATTAGATCCAAAGTGTAATTAAACAGGCTCTTCTCTGCAAAAGACACTCTGGGAGATGTACATAGCTGAGTGAAAATACAAACTCTGTCCTCAAGGACCTATAGTCTAAATCTTTTTTTCCTAACAGAAAATGCAAATGAAATATTAATGGGAACTTATAAACAGATGATAATGGGCCTGTTCTGTTTGAAATCAGATCAGATACCCAAAGTCCTATTTGTTTGTTAAGTCTACCTCCCTGCCTTTTGCATACTGCCTAGTTTTATTCTTAGCCATTCCATCTCAGAGATGCAGTCCTAATTATTTGAAGTCACCTAAGAAGGCTATACTGTTTTTTTTTTTTTTGCCTATTACACAATATTCTAAAACATTAGGAGGAGTCTCTGGTGACCCTTAAGAAGTAGTCTAGCCCAGACAAACTAGAGAGTGCCCGGCTACCACCAATGACCGCCCTGACAGGAAACACAACAGAGAGTCCCAGATGGAGCAGCAGAAAGATGGGATGCAGAACTCAAATTCTAGTAAGAAGACCAGACTTAATGGTCTGACTGAGACTGGAGGTACCCCAGAAAGCATGGCCCCTGAATTCTCTATCAGCCCAGAACTAAAACAGTTTCTAAGGCCAACTTTTCAGACGATTGGACTGGACTGTGGGACATAAAGTGATACTCGTGAGGAGTGTGCCTCTTAGCTCAAGTAGATACAAGAGACCAGAGGGGCAGCTTCTGTCCAGAGGTGAGATGGGAAGGCAGAGACGGCTAGGAGCTGGTTGAATGGACATGGGGAATCGGGTGGAAAGGAGGAGTGTGCTGTCGTGGAATGGGGTGAGCAATTAGGGTCACATAACAATGTATGTATAAAATTTTGTATGGGAGACTAACTTGAAATGTAAACTTCATTTAAACTACAACAATTAAAAAAAAAAAAGGTAGTAGTCTAGCTCTTTGTCAGGACACATCATGGAAATCCCAATTGACCTATACCCCCAAGATAGCTCAGAGATGCTTGAACTTAGAATTTTAGAACTGTACCAAGTGGGGTTTAAACAGACTTACTAAAAACTCACAGAGTTGTAGTTCTCAACCTCTGGAAAGCATTAACAGCCAACTCTCCTACTATTCTTTTGGATTTCCTGGGATAGCCTTCCTATAGGTACTGCAGAGCATCATATTTGTCGCAGTTCAAACCCACAACCCCAGGGTGAATGGATCTTAGCCTTCTTTCAGTTCCCTTGTGGATAATCTGTGATGCATGCCTCTAGACCGTGTGGCCCCTTTATAAGCAGAAGTAGTAATAATAACGATTATTGAGATTTTATTCTGTGCTAAGTTAGGTACTATTCTAAGTGCTTTTCATCATAGTAACACTATGAAGTAATTAATCTTTACAATTAATCTGTACTTTGGTGTACAGTTGAGGAAACTGAGGTACAGAAGGCTAGTAACTTAAGAGCACAGGGACAGTTTGTATCAGAGCCAGGATTTGAATCCAGGTACTCTGGCTCCAGAAATTGCAGTAATAAAAATATTATTCCATCTGAAGATAATGACATGAAGAATACCTGTTATGTGTCAGTGGTTCTTGTAGGCATTGTCATATTCCATTATCTTATAATGCCTTCAGTAACAGGGACCATTTCTCAACTAGAATATTTCTTTCTTCCACTTTTTAGTTCTGGCCTGAGCCTTGAGGATTCAAAGAAATTGATAGCTTCAACCAGTGATCCCAAACTAAAGAAAATCCCAGCTGAGCAACCAAAAGCCATGCTTCCTTCAGAGGCTTCTCCTATCAGAATAGCCCCAGTAGTTCCCCAGTCAGAGTCTAAAGAAGAAGCAGTACAAATGCCATCACCAGTGAAAAAAGAAGAGCATGAGAGCCAAGTTAAGGTGCAGCCAAACTTCTCCAAATCCACAGAGCTCCTACTTTCCTCAGCTAGCAATACAAATGAGCTTAGCAGCACTTTTCCCATCAGATGCACAAAGGATGAGGATCTCTTGGAACAGAAGCCAGTTGCCTCTGCTGAACAGGAATCTGAAAAAGAGAATCATCTCAGCACAGCTTCTAATTGTAACAAAAGTGAAAGCCAGGATGCTTTAGTTACATCTCCAAGCAAACCCAAGAGTCCTGGGGTAGAAAAACCAGTAATGAAGCCCATAGTAGAAGCAGGTTCACAGGAGACCACTGTGAAAGAGCCTCTGTCAACATTTGTTGATCAGAGCCCAGAAGGCCTCAAGAGGAAATCTTCTCTCACCCAAGAAGAGCCCCCTATGAGCTGGGAGAAGAGGCCACGTGTCGCTGACAATCACCAGCACCAGCAGCCATTTCAAGGCCCGCCACAGCCCTTTCTCAATAGAGGGGACAGGGTCCAGGTGCGAAGAGTACCACCCCTCAAGGTAAGAGTAGGGAGGATTGAAAAGGAGAGATGGTCTGAACTCTTAGGTTTTTGGTCATGCTTAGTAAATTTCAGGAAATTCGTAGTATTTCCTAATGTAGAAGCAGTTGTATATACTTTATACGCATGTAACTGTTCTTATAAGGAAAAAAGTATTGTTTCTTAAGAGATAAACAGTTAATTAGAACTGCATTCCTACAGATCATTATTGATATTTAAATAAGGAAAGAAACTAATCTAATCTAATGCCTCACCTACTCCCCATGCTGGCTGTCTTAAGACAGTTATGGAAATTATTCCATCTTATATGACAAAATAAATATGAGAACAAGGCTGAGGAGGCCATTTGTTTGATTAAGAGATAATGTATTTGTTCCAAGAGCCATGATGTGTAAGTACACCTTGGCCTTTACTTACTGCTGTAACTGATTTGATGTTCTGTGGTCTATAACTACTTTTAGCTCCCTCTTATTAAAGGACTTATCACTGGTTACTTGAAGGATATTAGCAAGATAGAATAATAGCCTTGCTAAGCTCTACTGGATAACATATGTCATTAACTTCTGTTTAGACCTGTATTGCTGTGTATCAAATCCTTCTAATTCTATAGCAGTGTCTCTGACTGTCTTGGTATATAAAGACTGTATCTGACAGGGTTAAGCCCTTTAAAACCCAAATACATTTTTCCCCCTGACCTTAAAGGTTTATTAATACTTTAACTTGTGCTTAATATCATTTTGTAGTTCATTCGTTCATGTAATAAATAGTATTGTGTGTCTACTATGTATAATGTATCTACTCACATTAGAATAAAAATAGAAAAATAAACCAAATAGAAATACTTTTTTCCCCTTTTCATTTAACTTGGATGAACCAAAGTTACATATTAGAAACATTTAATTGCTATTACTTCATCCATTCCATATACTCTGTGACTCCTCTCTCTCATCATAATTATTACTAATGGTACGACCTTTGTCATTACTTAATTTTAAGATTTATGGTTTCAGCATTTAGGAATCTGCTTTTTTTTTCTTATTTTTTTATATTTTCTACCATTAACATACACTGTCTTGCTTTGCCAAAGGTTCTGGTTTTTATGATAGTCAATTTTAGTATTCTTATAAAAATATTAGAAACCTTTCCATAATGAATGTGAATTAGATCTTATCTCCAGACACTAGAGCTGAGTTATAGTTTAGATTTTGCTATAAATGACACTGGGTAAAACAAATAAAGTCTGTTTCCTCATCTGTAAAGAGGTGGATACCATCATGTTCTGTATGCTTTTTGCTAATCCCAAGAGACTCAACACTGAAAATGTAAATCTCCTATGACTAAATTAACATATTTTCCTTTGTTCTCACTCCTCATTCCCTGCTAAAAGACTTTTAGCCAGAAGTTGTATTAGTAACTCTTTAACTGAGACCCCTATCTCAAATCCCACTTCCTTAGGCAAAGCTTGATGTAGTTTTATAACAGAACAAAACTTTTTAAACAAAATTTAAATAGAAAACAAAAATGGAATTTTATTACAAGTGCTCTAACTTAGTTATGTATATATGTGTACAAAAATGAAGCATACACACACACATACACATAGATACGTTTTGTTTGTTTTTATCATTCTGTGTATAGTTAAAAAGAACAGGATCTAACCTGTTTGCCATACCACAGGTTGGTTTTCTCAGTAAGATAAATTGTTATCAATGCCTAGACAACTTTCAATGGTTTTGTACTGAAAAAGAAGATAAAATATCTCATTTATTGTGCATACTTAGGTAATAGGATTATTTACAAAAATAACTAAAGTTTATTAAGTATTAAAACTATTTTAGCCATTTTTCATGATTGCCATTAATTTCAGCATGTTATTAATGACCCTGTCATTATGATAGGCATCATTTTTTGTGATAGGTATGGTGTTACTCTCAATATGTTTCTTCTGTAAGGTTGTTTGTCCCTGTATAAATTTCCCATAAACAACTACGCTTTTCTTATATTTAATTTGTGTAGATTTGTCTGTTTTTCCCTTATTAGTGGTCTCTTCTAGATGATGTCCCCAAGGGACAACAGTTGCTTCTTTCTTCCTGTAAGCAGCTTCTCAAACACTATATACTGAGTAAGTCTGCTCTCTAGGCTTGTTAGAATTGGGTGTAAAATAGATTTGGCTCTAAAGGAGGGATTAATTACATCTCGTGGTGTAAAATACATGGACTTAGTGACAACTGCTACACAACCAGAGAGCCCTAATTCTGAATTACAGACAATCAGTTTTTCAGGACTGATGACCTTTTGATAAATGAATGTTGCAGAAATAATGACAAGTTGTTGTTTTATTATTCTTAATTTAAGGATTTGCAGAAAGGGGAAATGCATTTTCTTATTTAGAGTTCCATCGCTTAATTTTTTTAAATCAAATTTTCTAGATTGTCTATAATGGCTGTATGTTGTTGCTGTTAGGTGTCTATCTTGCTGAGGGTCTTCCTTTCTTCTGCTGACTCTCTGCTTTACCAAGCATGATTTCCTTCTCCAGGGACTGGTCCCTCCTGATAACATGTCCAAAGTACTTAAGATGAAGTCTCGCCATCCTCACTTCCCAGGAGCATTCTGGCTGTACTTCTTCCAAGACAGATTTGTTCAGCCTTCTGGCAGTCCATGGTATATTCAGTATTCTTCCTCAACACCGTAATTCAAAGGCATCAATTCTTCTTCGATCTTCCTTATTCATTGTCCAGCTTTCGCATGCATATGAGGCGGTTGAAAATACCATGGCTTGCAACAGATGCACCTTAGTCCTCAGGTGACATCTTTGCTTTCTAGCACTTTAAAGAGATCTTTTGCAGCAGATTTTGCCCAGTGCAATGTCATTTGATTTTTCTGACTGCTGCTTCCATGGGTGTTGATTGTGGATCCAAATAAAATGAAATCCTTGACAACTGCCATCTTTTTTCCATTTATCATGATGTTGCTTATTGGTCCAGTTGTGAGGATTTTTGTTTTCTTTATGTTGAGGTGTAAGCCATACTGAAGGCTATAGTCTTTGATCTTTACTTGCATGTGATATTAATGATAGTGTTCGATAATTTCCACATTCTCTTAGATCACCTTTCTTTGAAAAGGGCAAAAACGTGGATCCCTTACAGTTTGTTGGCAGGTAGCTGTCTTCCAAATTTCTTGGCGTAGACAAATGAGCTCTTCAGCATTGTATCCAGCAGCTATATACTCCTTTAAATTCAACCAACTACTAGAAATGTGCAGATCTTGATCCATTATAATTAACTCCAGTAATTTTCAAAGTATTGCTTAGAGCAAGAGTCCAATTCCTTTCAGATATGATATGATATGAAAATCAGTGGTTTCAAACCTGGTGGTACATCAGAATTTCATGAGACGCTTTTTCTAGGGGTTCTAATCTGTAAAATTTTGGGGTAGGACTCAGGGCATCTGAAAGAAACTTTAAAAACTCCACAAGTAAGTATAATGCCAGCCAGGGATGAGAGTCACCAGGGTAAACATTATGTATACATGTCTGCACAGTCCCTCATATAGGTGGGCATAGTATATGCACCTTTGGATCTATATTCTAGTGCTGTCTAGTTTATTTAATTTATGATCCAGCTTATATGCTTAATAGTGTGTCTGTGTGTAGAACAGGGCACAGCTTTTACCTAAACCTTGCTAGTGAAGCGAAGAAGTAGAAACAGTAATGATAGGCTCCTCTTCCTCCACTCACTTCACACACACAAACATACGCATTTAAAAATGCAGATACCATAGAAAGGTCTGTATCTTAAATAGTAACCAGTTCAGAAGAGTATTGGCATTAGAAGGGAGTTGTGTTTAGGAGAGGAACGGGAATTTGGAGTGGGAGTGGAAGTTGAGGAGTTCCTGGGGAGGGAGGAAAGTCTATGGCACCAGTAGAGGAGGTACAGATTTGAGACAAATTTGTGTTGCTGTCTCCGTGGTTTGGTTTCAGGCCAGCTATAGACTTTCCTTCTTTGTCACAGGTGCTGTAGTCTTCACCCTAGTGTAGATGTTTAAGTGCTAGTGAAGTTTTGTTATTCTTGTAAATGAAAACTAAGCTCTGATCTGTTTTTTTCCTACTTCTTTCAGATCCCGGTCTCCAGAATCTCCCTCATGCCGTTTCCTACATCGCAGGTCTCTCCCAGGGCTCGTTTTCCAGTCTCCATCACTAGTCCTAACAGAACAGGAGCCAGAACCCTTGCAGACATCAAAGCAAAAGCCCAACTGGTCAAAGCACAGAGGGCAGCTGCTGCAGCCGCAGCCGCAGCCACTGCAGCTGCCTCAGTTGGAGGGACCATTCCAGGACCTGGCCCAGGGGGTGGACAAGGTCCAGGAGAGGGTGGTGAAAGGAAAACTGCTAGGGGAGGGAGTCCAGGCTCAGACAGAGTCAGTGAAACTAGAAAGGGCCCCACACTGGAACTGGCAGGAACTGGAAGCAGGGGAGGTACGAGAGAGCTTTTACCCTGTGGTCCAGAGACTCAGCCCCAATCTGAGACCAAGAACCCAGGCCAGGCACAGCCTCATAGTGTCTCTGGAGCACAACTACAGCAAACCCCCTCAGTGCCTCCCACATCTGCCATCAGCGGAGCATGCACAAGTGTCCCATCACCAGCCCACACTAACCCACCCCCGCCAGCTTTAGAGAAGTTAAATAATGAAAAGCTGAACCCCACCAGGACAACAGCCACAGTGGCCTCTCTCAGCCACCCACAGCGGTCTGTTAATTGCAGGCAGGAGAAAGCACCTTCTGCTCCAGCAGGTCCTGCTCTAATCTCAGGTGCCTCACCTGTTCATTTTGCAGTTGATAGCACAGTTGAGCCCAAAGCAGGTTCTAGTAAGAATACACCAAACCCTTCAGCCTCAGTGGAGACAAGTGCTAGTGTTCCAGTGGATATGACTCCTTCTGCTTTGCCATCTTTACTGACAACAACCACTGTAGAAAAGCTTCCCGTACCCCAGGTCAGTGTAACTATAGCGCCTACTGGATCAGCTCCATCCTTGAGCACTTTGCCAGCAGTTTCTAGCCTTAAAACCCCAGGAACTTCTTCAAATATGAATGGACCCATTTCAAGACCAAGCTCTAGTATTCCTGCTAATAATCCTTTGGTCACTCAGCTGCTCCAGGGCAAAGATGTTCCCATGGAGCAAATTCTTCCTAAACCTCTCACCAAAGTTGAAATGAAAACTGTTCCCCTGACTAAAGAGGAAAAGGGGATAGGAGCAGCCACAGGTACCAACATAACAGAAAGCGCAAGAGAGGAGATTAACGAACCACAGTCCCACTCAGCTATACAGCGTCTGGGTAAAATGTTGCAAAGTAAGCAGCTACCCCAGGTTCCGAGGACCCTTCAGCTCTTTTCAGCTAAGGATCTGAGGGACTGTAGCATTGACACACACTCATACCAAGAAGGACTGAGTAAAGCAACCCAAGGTCAGATCCTTCAGACTCTCATCAAAAGGGTTCAGAGACAGAATGTTCTCCCAGTCCTGCAGCCCAACCAGTTCAACTTTGCTCACTCAGGTTTCCAATTAGAAGACATCTCCACAAGCCAGAGGTTCATGCTGGGTTTTGCTGGCAGAAGGACATCCAAGCCTGCGATGTCAGGCCACTACTTACTTAACATTTCCACCTATGGCAGGGTTTCCGAGAGCTTTAGGAGGACCCATTCTATAAACCCTGAAGACCGTTTCTGTCTAAGTAGCCCCACTGAGACCTTGAAAATGGGATATGCAGACTGTAAAAAAGCAACAGGAGATAGTAGCAGCGGCAAAGAAGATGATACAGAGGAGGAGAGTTCTGGTGATGAGCAGGAATCTTTCACGGTAAAGAAAGAGCCGCAGGCTTCCCAGAGTTCTGACAAGTGTGAAGCAAATTCAGGAGTCCACAGTAGGGAAGCCCTGTTCACCAGTGATTGCTTAGCTAACAAGAATGTGAAGGCAGAGACACCAGTGAATGAGCAAACCACTTTAAGCAAGGACAATTACCTATTCACTAGAGGCCAAACATTTGATGAAAAGACCCTAGCCAGAGATTTTATCCAGGCAGCACAGAAGCAAATGGCTCATGCAGTGAGAGGTAAGATGATGTGTAGCAGCTCTGAGCTTTTCAATTCTACTGCTCTTCCTGTACCTGCAGACAGCCCCACCCATAAGCCTCTACTCCTTCCAACCCTGCAAACCCCAAAGCTGTATGGAAGCCCCACACAGATAGGGTCAAGCTACAGAGGCATGATCAACGTCTCCACCTCATCTGACATGGACCATAGCTCTGCTGTACCGGGTATGCCAGACTGCAGCCAGGTGTCTAGCAATGTAGGTGATGTTATGTCCTTTTCAGTGACTGTCACTACCATCCCTGCTAGCCAAGCTATGAATCCTAGCAGCCATGGCCAGACCATTCCTGTTCAGGCCTTTCCTGAAGAGAACAGCATAGAGGACACGCCTTCGAAATGTTACTGCCGATTGAAAGCCATGATCATGTGCAAAGGGTGTGGCGCTTTCTGCCACGATGATTGCATTGGCCCCTCTAAACTGTGTGTCTCCTGCCTTGTTGTTCGGTAATGACACTAGAAAGAACACGCTGTGAAGGAAGGGGGAAGGGAAGAGTTGACGACATGTGTTTTTTGTGTCCTTTTGGAATCACAGAAATAAACAAATAGGTTTCAGTTGTCTTAAGAGACAAATGTTACTTAATCAGGAATACGGAGTACAGATCTTTTACATTTTAGAGGAAGAGCACCTTGTATAGTAAGTCTAAGTCAAGCAAGACTTTGTGAATTTGTGACAAGTTTGCACTTACAAAATCATGTAAATATTGTCACATTTTGTTTTAACATTGTTTTTCCAAGTGTTTAGGTAATAATGTGTTACTTTGAATTCAGATTTATGTTCCACTTGATGTGACTCTGAGAAAGGTTTAGTTCGATACATGGTGAAGGAGAGCTGTCTCCCTTCTGACCTTTCTAAGAGGCTAGGAAAAGGAAGGAGTGAAGGAATGGCCTAAAGAAATGAGCATCCACACTGATTAGGTATGTCTTGACAGTCTAGCTGCAGATTATACATAGATTATTCAGACTTGGCAAGGTTTGCATTCAGCGTTTACTCAGTCCCTTTACTTTAGGTGGAACCTTCTTAAGTTCTAATTTTTTTATAAGGCATCAGTTTCACAGGTAGTGTTTCAGACTCCAAAAGCTCTGACTTGGTTCTTGGCTTCCATAAACCAGTACTGTCGCCAAGCACTCTGCTTGCAATCTGTGAATCCCTGCTCTTTCCTAATCCTGCTCCGTGCCCTAAAACAGTGAGTGTGGTCCTTGCAGGGTGTGCCTCTCTGGCTCATTGCGCTCCTGTAGCCTGTGCAGGACAACACTTCCAGCAGTACTGCCCAAGCACTTAGTCATTCATAAATACTAGTCTGAAACTTACAGAAAAGTGTTAGTGATGGGATGATTTGAGCTATGTGCTTTGTTGGGCAAAGGAATGAAAGTGCAGAGACTGTTAAGGTGAACATAAAGAACTTTGGAAGCAATTTCAACACTAGAAGCAAGGTAGCCCCTCTTTCGTCTTCTCTCCCAACCAGTTACCTAATGTTCTGTAGTCACCGCTGTTGTAGATAGAAAAGCTCACTAATGCCACATTTGCCCATTCAGTTAAACCTATTTTGACCTCCCTGGCATCTGTGGAGGATGGAGTAATCTTATTATATATTGCTTTAACACACACACAGTAAAAGTTAGGAATTTTTCCTGTTTTAGAGAATATGTCCCTTGTTTTGGATTACTGGTGTCTGTGCACTAGAAATTTCTAATCTAAAGGGGCTTCAGTGCAGGACTAAGGGCATATCTAGAAAGGAAGAAGTTAGCCCCAAAGTTTTGTTGTTTGTTTTTTCATCTTTTGCTTCCTTTTTAGTTGTTGTGTTTTTTGTTTTTTAAATCTTGTCTCTAGTGATGGAAAATTTTTTCAGTACATAATACTTAGGTAATGGTTAAACAACATTAAAATAATCTACAGTTTACCAGAATTCGGTTTTAAATTGGGGATCGGCAGTTTACATCATTTGCATATTGATTTCATGTCTCCTAATTTCAAGTGTGTAAAGTGAAATTACTAGTGCCCTAGTACAGTTGTATTTGTACTTAATATCCAGGATGTGATATTTATAAAATACAGAACAGTTGAAACTTGTAAATTAAGTAACATTCCAGATAGGAGAAAATAGGTGATAATCCTTGCTTTGCTCCCATTCTGAAGCCTGCAGTGCGTCTGGAGCTTTTGGCCACCACCACTTCCCACTTTGTGTACACTCTTAATGCTTTCCAGCAGCCCCTACTCCAAAGCTCATAAGAAACTCTACTTTTCATTTTTCTTTTCTGGCTTTTTTTTATGGCTCAAGGCAAATATAGGATTAATATCTGTGTTCCAGTTTCAGCCAAGATAATATGATGTCCTTCCATTTCTGCTTTTCTTCCAGCACACACATAGCTAAAGAGATATGAAGGCTGCAAGGATGCAGGGATAAAGGAGTAAGCCAAGAACCAGTAGGAAACAAACACCATGGCTCTGCTCCCAGATTTTGAGTGAACTGGGTAGCCCAAGGGGAGTTTACAAAGACCGATTGGTGGGTGAAACTCTTCCCCATGCTCAGCCTCTTGACTCCTCACTTCAGTGGCAGGGCTGAGGGCTGATGTTTCCGTTGGAGGTGGTTGAGTGTTTCAGAACTGACCTCAGGCTAAATAGCAAATTACCAATTTGGATTGATAAAAGTGACTTTTCTGCTTTGCTCCTTTCCTGTCATAGAAAGGCTTTCTTCCTTGCCTCCCTTAATCTGAGGATAGACAGATTGTACCTAGGAAAGGAGAAAAGGTATCAGGGATTTCTGAGACCATTTTGAGAGCGAACCATATTGTGCCTCTTCATCTTGACCCAGGCTAACATAGATAGGTCCTAAGTGTTATTATTCACCAGATTCTCTTTGTAAATAATATTCTGCTAATAAAATATTTTCATCTGGGAACACCCCAAGACAGAAATTTCCATAGGTACACTGCCTCAATCTTAAGATTCCCGTAGAGTGTTGTAAATTGGATTACAGTGGTTTCAAGTGAAAAGTCATTCATCTTATGAGTTAAACAGAAAAATCATAGCCTGGCACTTTTGAAAAATGAAGAAATGAGAAACAACAAAAAAACCTTTAAGTAACTTACTAGAGTATGGTAGTCTCATACCTTTGAAGCAGTATTTATCTTAGGTTTTCAGAGTTCAAGCTGAAATGTTTTCTGGTAAGTGCTAAGCTTATTCTTAAGGTATTGAGTTAAGCTGCACTACTTCTAGTGACTAGTCGGGCAATATTATGGAAATGCCTCCAGTGTACCCTCCTCTAGCTTTCAGAGACCCTCCATTGCAGGTCACCTGGGGGAGATAGCATTAACAATATATCATCTCAGTCTTATTTATGAATGTTCTAAGTTGTCTAGTAGAGAAGGCTCCCTGAATCTTAACAAATTTTGTTTAATTAAAATTCTCCATCCTATTTAATGAGAAAATAAAGCCAAATAAACAGATAACCAGGAGTTGTTTGCCCTTCACTCTTATGCTCAAGTTACTGAAGCTGTCTGTGGTTGTCCCATGTGACATTTTTAAGTATAAGTATAAGAGCTGGCCAGTGGGAAATTTTCCTTGAGGGGTGGTGGGGAGCATACTTACATGGGTTGGGATGGCACACAGATGTAGATGTTTCAAGATTTAAACACCAGATTTAAATAAATAGCCAAAGGAAGATCTCATTGCCTTCCTGGTGAAGGTGTAAATTCATACGTATTAACGACCTAACAGTAACCATCTCAATTGCTTTTTATTGTCTTTTTCCATCTTAGAGACCCTTAAACAACTCTTGGTGAAATTATTTGTTATAATGAAGAGGGTTTTCTCTGATCATTACATATTTATTTCTAATACCCACTGTCAGTGAGCAGTGCCAGGGTTGTTTTCTCTGTGACCTAGAGGTTTCACATTGCAGCAAGGAGGGAAGAGTCTCCCCACTGCGGAACTACAGAGTACTAAGGAAGACACTTGGTCCGAGGGTATTTTTCAGCTCAACTTATACAATAGTCCAAAGAGACTGTGGGAAACGTGATGATAGGCAAGGGTCTTTCCTACCATGTTTCAATACTTACATGCCTGTTGATAGAGAACAGTAGGTAAAATATTTCCTAAAGTTGAAGTAATAGCTTCAGAGATTCTTGGTTACTTTATTTTTTTTAATGCTTTACATTTGATACAACTATTAAAGATCAATTTTAAAAATAGCTTTCCAGTAATATATTTTGAGTAATATATATTTTAATATCTATGTAAAAAACGACAGCGGAAGACTTTGAATTTCTCTTGTATGGTATGTTAACTGTAGAACCTCACTGTTACGGCACAAATTATTTCAAAGAAGTTACTCTAAAGTCACTCAGATTATTTCCACAAAATGCAATAAGAGGGATAGTTGTGGGGTTTATTTTTTATTTTAAAAGAAAATTGACGTATTTACCACAAGCTATTTTTTCCCTTCTGGCTACAAGGTTTGTACAGACTGGTAAATGCTGAGATTTTATGTCTTTTGCCTTTTTAAAGGAATTGTTAACATTGGAACTGAGGGTATGTACAGAGAAGTTGGTGTCAGCACCATTTAAGAAGTCATATTTTTTCACAAATAATATAGAAAAAATCATTTTACATAAGAATTTTAAGTATTTGCAATAAATATATGTATATAGATTGTATGTATTCATATATTCTTATTTTTCATTTTATTATTAAGTAAAAGATAATTAAAAGTGACAATAAAAACCTTGGAGTTTTTGGTGACTTTTGAGATCTAACATATATCTGAGAGTGGTATGGGTAAGGGCCCTCAGTTGTTGCCTTATACTACTTTTTGAAGATTACCACAGATTGTATGAAAAAAAGTAAAATGAGGCATTTGGTGATAAACAAATCAGGGTAGTGTATTTCTTTCAGAGCCCTAGTAAAAATATTATTAAGTCCCTTAGTCTGTTTGTCTCATTGTTTTCCCCCTTCATTTATTCTGTCTCCTAACTGTTTAATCCTCGGGTTCTTGGAAAAGTGAAGAAACCAGGTGCAGCTTCTTTTAATGTGGCTGTTGTTTGCTTCTAAAACAAAGAATGCTAAAGAAATGCAGGGGTGGAGGGGTAGGTTTTCCTTTCTCCACAGTGGTCGGTAATTCATCAGCAAACATTCACTGCTACCACCTTCCAGGCCCCTAGGAGTGTGTAAAAAAAAATAACCACAGCAGATATCAGAAGACTTTTTTTCTGTTTGCAATTCTTCTCTGAGAAGTGGGTTTCATGGCCAGTTTCATGTTCTTTCTGACTGGTCTGGAGAGGTAAAAGAGCCAGGAGAACCAAGTACAAGAAATATCTGCATCTTAATTAGGTTCTATTTCAGCATTACACTTAAGTTTGAACTTCTGGTGTCATTTATGGAAATGGGGACTGAGTCAAATACTAGGAAAGGACGGTAGTCTCATAGTCCATAACTAGAGATAACCTGGGATCCTACTATCCAAGAGAACTCATTTTGTGGTTGTAAACACTTGATTTTGGGGTATGATTGCGGGAGAGGAGATGGTACCTAGATGGTCTTTGGAAATTAAAGTATATAGTCCTTTTTGTTTTTATTGTGCGTTAAGTGTAAATTTACAGTTCAGGTTAGATTCTCATACAAAAATTTATACACACATTGTTATACGACCCTGGTTGCTCTCCCTGTAATGTGACAGCACACTCCTCCTTTCTACCCAGATTTCCCATGTCCATTCAACCAGCTCCTGTCTATTTTTGCTTTCTCATGTCACTTCTGGACAGGAGCTGCCCGTTTAGTCTCATGTATCTGTTTGAGCTAAGAAGCAGTCTTCACAAGTATCATTTTATGTCTTAATAGTCCAGTCTAATCTTTGTCTAAAGAGTTGGCTTCAAGAATGGTTTCAGTTGGGCTAACAGTCCAGGGGCCATGTCTTTTGGGGTCCCTCCAGTCTCAGACCGTTAAGTCTGGTCTTTTTACTAGAATCTGAGTTCTGCACCCCACTTATGTTCCGTCATGGACTGACCATTGTGTTCCTTGTCAGGGAGGTTGTTAGTGGTAACTGGGCACCATCTAGTTCTTCTAGTCTCAGGCTGATGGAGTCTCTGGTTTATGTGGTAGCCCATTCTTTAAAAATAAATAATGTATAGATTTATTCATGACCTGAAAGAAAAGCTGAGAAGGTCAGATTCTCAGGAATGTATCTGAATGACCCATGAAACTGACTTTGTATTGTAGTTTGCTAGTTCTCCCTGTAATTGCTCAGCTGTAGTTATTTTTACTGATAAAAATAGCACATTTTGGAAATTAATAAGGACACATCCTATGCTTTTTTTTTTTTTTTTAAGACAACTTTACTACTTTTCAAAAAGTGAAACTTCAAACATCAGGGTTGCCCAAAGATGTTGAAGATTGTTTCGCCATCCAAGAGAATAACACTCTAAATCTTACCTGAGGATATACTATTTGTAAAGGAATTTCTTGTCTCAGGGAACATCTGCATCCTCATAATTCTTATATAGGAATAAAGGAGAAATGTTTAAATATGTGAGAGCCAATTCACAATAACCATTTACAAAGATTTAGTAACTCCCATTTCTAGTACATATTTATCATTATGTGGGCCTCCTACCTCACAGGAAGTATAATTCATATTCAGGTAATGACATGGAAGCCTAGAGATAATAGTTGGTCTGCGTTTAAGTTATAGGGAGCAATATACCAGAACACAGGACTTTGTCCCCCAACTTCCCTTTATTTGCATCACAGAGTCTCAAATACGTGTTTGTTGCTCTTGATACTACTTGACCACAACCAATCTTCAGAAAACACATTTAGCATAATGTTTCTAGCTATTTTTATGTACAAATCATGTTCCTCATTCAGATAGTTATTGAGCATCTACTGTGTGCTAAGCACTATGCTGAAGTGCTGGATGTATATGAATAAGCAAAACAGTCAAATTGTTAAAAAAAAAAAAAAAAACCTTTGTAAGGTAGTAACTATACAGCAGGTGTCTAGTTCAGGGCTCAAGGAGTAATGTAGAATGCTACATACTTCCAGGGCATGTTGGAAGCTATTAACATGAGTTATTACAGATAAAGAAATAGGAATGTTTGAAGTACTGGATGAAACACTGGTGAAATGTGAAGTCAGTGAAGAAGGCTTTGCCCCTTGATGAAACAACAGGCAATGTGAAGGTGACCATGAGGAGCCGCGTTGATAAAATTTACCTTTTCTGAGAACTATAGGGAGATGTAGAGTTAATAGAAATTTCAAGAAATCTCTGAGTAATATCTAAACTGAAGAGAGAATCCAACTAAAAGCAATCGCTTTTGGTTAATTCAGGTCAGTGTGCCTGAACGTAAGGTGCTTTATCTTATGCTCAGCTAATCCAAGCCCTTGGCTGCTAACTGAAAGGTTGGCGGTTTGAACCCACCCAGTGGCTCCACAGGAGAAAGACCTGATGTGCTCCTGTAAAGATCACAGCCTAGAAAACCCTTATGGGGCAGTTCTTCCCTGTCACATGGGATCACGCTGAGTGGAAATCAACTCTACAGCCCCCAACAACAACACAGCTTTCTTGTTGCAGTTAAAAGACAGGTGAAAAGGAAGTGTATTCCTTCATTTCGAATTAATAAAGAGATGTTGTGTTCCTATTTTTTTCTCCACAATAGACAGAATTACTTTAGTGTTCTTTTGTATTCCAGTATTGCAGGATTGGCCCTTTTTCTCTCTCTAAATCATAGAATTTGAATTAAAAGGGCTTCAACAGGTCCCTAGCCCTTTTTGTTTTAATAGCCCAAATCCTAATCCTTGCTTTAGGACTGTAGTAGAAAGGCTTTAAAAAGATGAATCATTGTATTTTGTTGGTGCTTACTCTTGAATTTTCCTTACTGCTTGTCTTTAACCCGGATTATTGGATTTGTAATTCAATTTTGTATGCCAAAATATCTATATTCATCTTTCAAAGGTATATTAGGTATCCCACTGTGTAACAAAGTCTCAACTCTGTCCAGGAACAAGGAGGATGGATGATTTTGTTTTCTTAATACTTGGTGACCTTAAACAGTTGATTGAGTCTCTTTCAAAGAGACTATATAGACTAAGGAATACTTCTGTACCTCCATGTATCTTTCAGCCTTAGCCTAAAAAAGGAATCCTTGAAAATACAGGAAGAGAATCCCTTGAAAGACAAACCGAACCTGGAAGAGAGCCAGAGATGATCAGTTGTGGAGGTAGGCTGTGGCTAGATAATGGGTTCTCCTGAAGAATAACTTCAAACTCGTGTTTCCTCGTTCTTCGACGCTAAAAGGAATGAAAAAGCATATCCTGATGTTCATCTTAACTATAAAATCTAGAGGATGTCTGGGAGGAAAGAAGATAAACTGAAGCTTTGTTGATTTGAAATAGATTTAAGTAAATTTTGAGTTAGGTGGTATATACTTTTTCAGAATATTTTTTTAAAAAAAGCACTTTGGGTTCTCATACCAAGATGATGTTAAAATGCTATTAGTGGAACATGGGATTTTATTTGAGACATTTTGTGGGCAAACGAACAATTTTCTGTTGAAGTATCTAGTGGCAGCTTTGCAGCTGCTCAGGATTTAGGGTTGTGTACCCTGCGTCTAGGAGCCCTGGTGACACAGTGGTTAAGAGCTATGGCTGCTAACCACAAGGCCGGCAGTTCAAATCCATCAGCCACTCATTGGAAACCCAGTGGGACAGTTCTATTCTGTCCTATGGGGTCACTATGGGTCAGAATTGACTCAACAGCAATGAGTTTGGTTTTACCCTGCGTCTGTGAAATGAAGTGGAACTTGGCTCCATAAACACTGTATTAAGCCAACATGGGTCAACACTTAATTTTTCTTAAGTTTAATCAGGGATCCTTTTTTTAAAGTATTTAAGATTCAGATTAGCCTATCTAATAACCAAATAAGACAGCAACTTATTAAATATTATCAAAATGTCTGAAAATACTTTAAAACCATTTTACAATCTATTTTCCGATTGAAATTGTAGTACATAAAATTTTATGTATCTTGGGTCCTTTTAAAAAGCAGAGTTTAATGTTTTCAACTAAGTAGAGCTTGTAAATGATGAAGTTGGACTTCGACCCTAAGTTAGAAATTCTTTTCATATAAGTCTTCAGGCAACAGCCACTACTTCAGTCTGACCACAGCTGAACCTGTGTGTAATCACTGCACAAGCTTTAAATTAAACACACTCTTCCGGAATCTCAGATTTGGTTCCCTTTTATTAGATAAGGAGATAAATTCTGAACTGGGAAGGACCTTACTATTTGTTTTCTGATTAAAGTACTGATTGAAAAGTAAATTTCTCTTTTGAGGTTCACAAAATGTCTAGAATTCATGAAAGATCTAGAGTATACGATAAATGAAACGCTAGGAATGAAAAACGTTTAGCCATAAGTGCTTTGACCTGTTTTTTAAGAAACCCCTTCATTCTGTGACTCACTGCGTCACACTTAAGATGTCCACCAGCACCAGGAGAAATCAAAATGGAGAAATGACCACGTATTGGTCTGGCTGACCTTAAAATCTTTGTGCACATAGGCCTTAGCACTTTGACAGATAAAACTGCCTTCTAGCTCCTTCTCACTATCCTCTGTTCTCACTTTTAGACTGTCCCTTTTATTGTTTGTGTAAAACTACCTTCTTCAGAATTGAATGTATAATAATGTTTCTGCACTTGGATAACTGTATTTTATCTTAATGACACACTTTATGTTGAATAAAGGCATACAGTTTTACTCTAGCAACTGTGCTTTTTCTTTTCCAATGAAACCAAACAGCATGCTGGATGACTTAGGCCTACTTGTTGCCTCTTCCTTAGAGCCCAATTGCACAGCTGTCCCTGGACCCTGGCTAAAGTTGGATACTGCAGAGTGTTAATCTTTCCAGACAACACTCAAAGGGGTTTCAGAACTCAACATGAGACAGAAAGAGAATGTGTATCAAAAGAAAAAGGAAACCCCAAATGGATAGAGAAATAGAACTTACATGCATTTTCTTCTCTGAGCAACCTGAGGAGATTAAAAACAAGTTTTTTAAGGAATTAACCAAAGGTCCACCAGTAGAGTTTAAGAACAACCCCGTAGCTAGAGAAACTACTAGTGATGTTAGAAGAAGCCATGTAGCTTTGAAGGAAACAGCTCTGAGACCACTTGGTGCAATGACTAGGAAAAGTGCTGCTGGATCTAAGAAGTGACAGCTGAGAATAGAACCAACTTCAACATCCTAGTACAGTGAGGAACCTAGAATGTAGGATCGGTGTTGAAAATAAAGATTACTGGGATATCATAGGAATTGATGGCAACAAAGAGCAAGCACCTTTTTAAAAAATAAAAGTATTAACTATCCTCAGATATTAAGCAATTCCACTGAAGAGCAGACATGCCATCAGGTGAGTTCTTGTAGTGGGCATCTTTGCTAATCAGAGAGGCAAAAAGATAACCTCATTTTTTTTTTCTTGCATTTAAAAAATATTTAGTGAAGTTGAACATTTTTCTATATTAACTATTTCTGGGTTGGTTTTGGTTTTTTTAATCGCCTGATGAGGAATTTTGTCCATTTTTCTATTGGAGTGTTCCTTTTTATTTTTTTCCCCCTTGAGTAACTTACAAGTGGTCTCTATATTATGAATATTAATCTTTGTAATATATGTTGTGCATATTTTTCCTAGTTTGTC